TTCAAAGAGACACAATCAATCATGGTCAATCTGCTTTTATTCGAATAATGTCTATTGACTTGGGTTGCGAAGGTTCGTGACTTTCAAAATATGGGTCCCCAGAAAAAAAGTTTGGGAAATTGCATTAAACTGCATTAAACTGCATTGAACCATGTTAATAAAAGCAACTAAAGTTTTATGCATGCACGGGGTTAATAGGGAAAACTGCATGATCTAAAACACATTCACTTTTCACAAATAAAATACACTAAAATTTGCATTTGTACATTGTGAAATTACTGCTAGTTGGTTCATCTGATTCATTCTTACATACAGCTCATATTTCCAACACAATAAATCACTTTTTTGACACTCTTTTATCCCCTTTGCCGCTCTATCATTTCATTTTTTTCAAGCTAATAAGTCTAAAGTCTCCAAGTCTAAGTCTGCACATATCAAATGATCACAGGTAATTATTCAGAGCAGTGTCAGGAGGCAGGGGACCAGACCATGTTTCACCAGCTTTCATCATCCCCAGCCAAGCTCTGCTCTGCTCTGCTCTGTGGAGGTGGAGGAGGAAGAAGAGGAGGAGGAGGAAGAGGAAAAGGGGGGGCTGTAGCTTACATCATAAAGAGATGTTATACTGTGAGTGTCAAGTGCAAATATTGAGTTTGGGGAACTGATGGTTGCTGTGTAGTACTACGTAAACTAGAATTTGAGAAGTAATTTGACATCTCTGTTTTGTTTTTCTTTTTAATTCATTCTGAGCGTGATAGTGATGAATGATGGTGTGTAGAAGATTCAATAGTCTTCCAAGTGGATTTTTATGGAATATATATTTAGTATTTATTTTTAAACTGTATTATTGAGTTGGGACTAATAGTGGCACAGTGAATCGAGGAGTCGTCCTTGAACTGTAACAGGTTCGAACCTTGCCGTAAGTGAAAATTGTTAATATGTCCTCATTTCGCCCACTCCAATCACATCACAGTTACAACAGGAAGGGCATCTGGTATAAAATCTTGCCAGACCACAGCAGGATCATATAAAGAAATGCTCTATTGAAGGTAGTTGGTGTGTTGGTTGTTTGTTTTGCGAAACAAAAATGCTAAATGAAAATGTTTCTAGTGGAGGGTCCATCACCTGCTTGTCTCTACGGAGATATATTTCGATATATTTCCATGGTATACAGCAGTGTTTCCGAAACTTTTTTTCTGTGGACCCATATTTTAAATGTCACAAACCTTCACGACCCAAGTCAATAGACATTATTCGTGAATCACAAAATAAAGGAGATTTGACCATTACTGAACATTAATGAGAACATTTTATTACCAGTAATTGAACCAGTAATAAAAGTTATCCATAATTATCCTGAAGTGCTCTGACCTTTGCTGATTTATCACCCTTCTTTTCGGACAACCAAGCAGCATTTCTCAACTTTAGCTGCAGGAACACTCGTTCAGGGCAGGTAGGTAGGATTCACTGACTCACTTGCTCTCTCATGTGTCAGAACTGTGTCAGGGTATCCCCGGGCTTGACTACCTCAAATTTAAGACTTTTTAAAGACCTTTTTAAGACCACTTAAATGAAAATTAAGACCAACGTCGCACCCATTAAGCAGTCTAACACCAGGTCTAATTCTAATAATGATGAACCAACTACCGGTACTATATCTAGAATCTAAGGCTACGTTTATATGATGACGGTCCTAACAGAAGACACAAAATGGCGTAGCATCTTCACTTTTTATTCTGCGTTTAGACAAGCGTTTTCGGGAGGAAATCTGTGTACATACGGTGATGCAAAAGTGTGTGGAATTGGACTGGGTATGCATGCCACGCAGCTCAGTGGTGATGCTAGATGGTGTTGTTTGCGCATACTCCAAATTAGACGTTCATTCATGTTACGTTATTTCACTGTGTTTTTTCATTTAACATTGCACTGCAGCCCGGTTGAGTAAACAAAAAATAGGCTAATGAAATTTAAGACCATTGTGAAAAAAATAAGACTTGGAGAACATTTTTCACAACACGTTTTAAAGGCCTTAATTTAGTAACATGACATTTAAGACCTTTTTAAGACTTTTAAGACCTCGCGGCTACCCTGTGTATATTGCAGACCTACTTGCAGATCGTGACAAGGCGAACCAAAACAAATCTCTTGCATCCCACCCAAAGTTCACGACCCAGTTGTTGGGAAACAATGGTATAGAGGATTAAATGTGCCTATCTCCATTTAAAAAGACTGTATAAAGAAGTGGACTAAGGGAGTGTGATATTTCTTAGTCATAGAGAGTTGGCTCCAGTCAAATGAAGCTCATCGATGCTGGCAGTTATAGGAGAGAATTTGGAGCTGAGTTCCATAATAGGAATAGGAACTGATTTACAGGCAAAATAGTGAAATAAAAACACCAGGATCATGTAGAGCGGGTTAATACATTACGTTAATACTACATTTATACCATACTCCATACAACTGTACAAGAACTTCCCTTTATGTAACAGATAATACTCCCTACCACTGCACAACAACTCACCCTTATGTAACAGATGTCATTATGTCCTGTCAGTCATATCATTGTTGCACTGTCTTCCAATGACCTCTTGTCTAAAGCTGTGATTTTATATTTTATTATTTATCTTTCTATTTTATTTTGACTTGTACATTTACATTTATATAATTATGTCTTATTTGACACCACTTTCTTGCTATCTTTTTTGCTACTTATTTAGAATTTATTATCACCATTTATATTTTCGCTCTTTGTTATTATAATACATTGTGATGTGCGAGCTCCTGTGTCCAAATCATTTCACTTGTCGATCAAGAGAAATTTGTCTAAGTCTAAGTCTAAGAAAGCTAGTTAAATCTAAGTCGAAGTTGAAATCTAAGATGAACATTTTAAGACCAAAATGAGAAGCGTGAAAGCAGCAGTTACAGAGAGAGGAATGACATTTTTTCAATACAAAGTCAATTAAAGCCAAAGTCGATGGAGCCGAAAGTGCACCCATGCTCACTTCCTGTTCGGAACATGGCAGTAAGCAGGTTAGGAATGTCCATTTATATACTATATACAGTCTCTGCTCTCACTTTTTATGATGGATCCTTTTAAAGCCGCCATGTTCTAGACAAATTTCATGAACTTGCACCAAATTTTTAACTGATTTCCTTTTCATATTGGCTAATACATCGCAAATATTTTCTATGTACCAAAGTGGCTTACCACCTTTCCCACTGGTTTGTCTATTGAGAGCTGGGATTAGTGATTTTACTTGTCAATAGCTCTGTTAAAGATAGCCACTTATTGATTCCCTGACAAGATAAATTTGTTTAGAAGCCTGTCTTGGGTCAGATAGCACTTAGCGGCTAGCACGAGGGAAGGGGGAAGGCGCGCAGATGCTACCCGCGAGCATCGGGGCTAGCTTTATATAGGCCTCTGTACCACGCTGACAAAAGTAGGTCATTATGTAACGCGACTTGGGGTATTCTCCCTATTAGCTCATTCAGAAAGTGGTACTACGATGTGGCTTCCAGGTGCGCAGTCTGAAAATGATCAATCAGTCTGGCCTATCCATTCATATATAGGTCTACACATGCACAGAGGAGGGCAAGCGGACGCGTATAGCCTATATTCTGTGCTCTCCACAACGTCGGAGCAACCCAGCGCTGTCACTTCCAATGATGAGGAGAAGCTGAGTGCCGCCCCCAGCCATGAGGGGGCCTCGGAGACACAATCTAAGTGAATGACGAGACAAGGAGGAGGAGGAATAGAGCGATAAAAGACTGGCGGATGTGGAGAGACGGGGGGAGAAAGGGAGAGGGAGGGAGTCTAGGAAGAATTTAGTGATGGGACTTTCGGCTCTTTATGGGATTTGAGTCTTTTGGACCGTTCGTTTCAAAGAGTTGTTCAAAAGACTGGCTCTTTTTACATTTATTTTTATTTTATTATATAACAGAAGCCAGTGTGAGAGCTCAGAGTGGTCATACCAGCTCGTCAAAGCCAGAGCCCGTCAGATCTCAGAAGCTAAGCAAGACCGGGCCTGATTAGTACTTGGATGGGAGACCACTGGGAAAATCCGGTGCCACAGTGGGGTGCCAGTTGCAAAAAAAAAAATTCCTTGTGTTCTTAAGCGAGGTACTTCACCCACATTGCCTAGTATGAAAGTGGCGTGTGCGTGAGTGATGGTGGTTGGAGGAGCCGATGGTGCAGATTGGCAGGCTCGCTTCCGTCAGTCGGCCCCAGGACAGTTGCGGCTACAATAGGTGTGGAGTGAATGAATAATGCTCTGTAAAGCGTCTTTGAGTGCCCAGAAAAGTGCTATATCAAACTGACGCGTTATTATTTATTATTCTTAATAATAACTAATTCATAATCAAGGCTATGATTTGTTTAAAATGTTTCAAAAGTGAGAGTGGGAGAGTGTTGAAATTATAAATAAATTAAAATAAAATGTTGCACTACAGTAATAAAAATTAAAAGACTAACTGTTATTATGATTCCAATTTATTTGTTTATTGTATTTTTATTCCTGCGTCGGTTCAGTGTAAATTGGTATAAAAATGCACAAAAATTTGAAAGAAGAAGGTTTGGTTCTTTTCAAATGTGAGATTCAGTTTCATCCTTTCACTTTAAAGGTGCAACTTTTCTGGTGGAGGGTAAGTGCTGCTTGTTCCCATGGAGATATCATTACTTTGCCTAGAATATTCCACAGTATACTTAACTGGAGCAAACTATTTAGAAGTCAGATCTATGAAAAGGCCAAGCACAGTAAGAATGCAAGTTTTTCAAGGTATTTCTGAGCAGTATAAATCCTATCCCAAAACAAAACGAACAAAAAAGCGATGTATTTTTGATGCTTTACTGTGGGACATTCCAGGCAAACCGATGAAATTTTCAGACACAGACTGATAAAACTTACGCAGTGCACCTTTGAGGAATCATTCAAAAGTGTTTCTGAAGATCTCATCTCGAGAAGGATTGTGAGTTTGAAAGAAAAAGTGAAAAACATGGAGCTTACCGAGCCAGCTGCGGTTCAGGTAGACGGAGACGAACACGGGAGGGACGGTGAAGAAGTCCACCACGGAGTTGACCTCCAGCCAAAACCACAGCTTGTCGTTGGCTGCTATAAACTGTAAAAACAAACACCATTTTGGGTTCATGTTGAAATTATTAACTCATTCATGTACTTATTATGGGGTTAAAGTGGTGCAGTCAGTTGAGGGCTTTCCCATGAACCAGGAGGTGACAAGTTCAAGCCTCATTCAGACTGAAAAACTGCTTTTATCCACAAGCTCTCAAAGCAAACACTCCTACCATGTAATTGTGATGATACCAATAAAACAGTTGTTGACCAGGGAGTTGCTAAATTTCAGTTCATTGTTATTTTTATTTTTTTCCCCTAAAAATGGATTCTGGTTGGAATATATATGGCATATATATAGCTGAAAGTAGCCTGATTCATCAGGTGGTTTCACTTCATGGAAACCATCTGTTCTTGCAGCATTAGGATTCATTCGCTTGACGGTAGGCGGGTACTTTTTTAATTTAAACGATCACTACTATTTGGTCGTAATGCGCCAAATCCCGTAGGAAGAAGGGCAATAACTTCTTTCCCCTTGATAAAATTCACCAAACATTCTCTTTGTTCCGGCTTTAAATCCTCGATCTCGGGAATCGTTGCCAACACAGAATGTATGTCTTCGTCTACATCCATCTCGACCGCTTTGTTTACTGTTGTGTTATACCATCTGAGGCATTTGAGTTTAATGTCATGGCTTCACAGCTCTTCACTAATTGGCTGGTGCGAGGTCTACAACTTCCGGGGTTCTTGCAAACCATCTAGCACATTCCAATTCCTGATCTGGTTGTTGGAGTGAAATGAAATTGAGCGGAGGCACTAGCGGCCTAGGCTTTGCTAAGCTGAAAGGGCATCTGACCTAAAATCAGACAAAAACTTCCCAAATTTGGAGTGAAATAGTCTGTAATAATGGAAAGTGACAAAAAATGTAAACGTAAAAAGGTATATGAACTACACTTGTGATATTTGACCCAGTTAAATGCTAAAAATAGTCTGTAAGCATTAGTTCAATAAGTTTCATTTGGTTTTCTGATAATTTATGTAACAAATTCTTGGTCCAAAAGAATAATCTAATAACTAAGTATGTAAGAATTGCCTATAGAGTATTTTGTTTCAATACTAGTTTTAGCATCTTTGTAATTATTTCTTTTTATTTATCCATGTAATTTTTGACAACCCAAATTAAGATTCTACACAACTCGATATTTATCTTAAAGTTTAAGATAGACTAAATACATGCTATTATAATATATATTTTTTATTATTATTATTATTATTATTTTTCTGGAAATCCTTTCGCAACCCCCTGATGTACAGTATCAAAATTTTATAAGGAAAAGTGCTTGTTGCCATTCAAACTTTATGTCCTTTCTTTTGGCGTTACTAACAAACTTTAACTTAACCAAACCACGGGACATTTCTTAGTCATAGAAAAGTTGGAGGTGGAAGGGGCCCTGGGTTATTTCTCCGTTCATTCAGGCCTGGTGGAAGGCTGTGGTGGTTGGTTCTGCTGCATTCACCAGGACACAGTGAGTTTGGTGGGAGGCTGCAGTGGGCGCCAGCTTATGTGTAAGGAAAGGGCCTTTGTGCTGTTAAGTTGTGGTGACTCATCGCATTGTTATTCAAAACTACCGAGGATAACATTTCATCAACTATTCAATCTTCATTTTTGCATGTGCTTTTCTTTTCCTTTGCATAAAAATAATATTCAAGATATTAAAGGGATGGAGATGTTATTCATTTGCCTGGAAGGTTCAATATTAGCCATTTGCAGTGACATCACATTGGGGGTGTTTTGCGTGTATGTCTATGTCTAAAAGTTTTTAAGATAGTCAGAGTGTGTTGAAATAAAGCTTGAGTAACAGAGCTTCAGACAGAGCAGTGCCTCAACTTAACATCACACCCCCAGGAAATGTTGATGACATCAGCCGCAAAGTATCAGTAGAGTCTTAAACTTGTATAAAGTACATAGCGTTTTCAGGTCAAGTTACAGGTCAGATCTGTGTAGCGGCGACCCCTGTAAGACAGTAAGAAGGCATGTTTCGCAGGTATTTGTTTAGAAATACCAACACCTGTAATTAAATATATACAAATACCATTGGCTGCATACTGGAAAAAATACACGACGCTATGAAAGAGGGAGAGAGAAAGAAGGAAGGACAGAGAGAGAGAGTGATGGAGTAACGACAAGGCACTATGACAAAGAGAGAGAGGAAAAGAGTGAGAAGAGAGTCATGGAGTAACAACACTAACAACAGTACGACAGAGAGAGAACGACAGGGCAGGAGAGGGAGAAAGAGTGCAAAAGACAAGGAGGAAAAAAGAGGGGATGAGAGAGGGAGAGAGAGAGTCATGGAGTAACAACACTATGGCACAGAGAGAAAGACAGTGAGAAAGAGAGAGAAACAGAGAGAGAGAGAGAGAGAGGAAGAGAGGGAGAGGGAGTCATGAAGCAACAACATGGTGCAATGAGAGAAGCAGAGAGAGAGAAAAACATACAGGCAGAGAGAAAGAGAGGGAGAGAGAGAGAGAAAGAGTGAAGGAGAGAGACAGGGAGGAGAGAGAGAGAGGAAGAGAGAGTCATGGCGTAACAACACTAACAACACTATGACAGAGAGAGAAAGAGAGAGAGCTAGGGAGACATGGAGGGAGAGAGAGCGGATGAGAGAGGGAGTAACAACATGGTTCTATGACAGCGAGAAAGAGAAAGGGGAAGAGAGAGAAAGAGAGAGGGGGAGAGAGTCATGAAGTAACAACATAGCGCTATGACAGAAGTAGAGAGGAAGAGAGAGAGACATACAGGGAGAGATGAGTCAGGGGGAAAAGAAAGGGAGAGAGGAAGAGAGAGTCATGGAGTAACAACACTAACAACACTATGACAGAGAGAAATGGAGGGTGAAAGAGAGGGAGAAAGAAAAAGCTATAGAGACAGGAAGGGAAAGAGAAAGAATGAGAGAGGGAGAGAGTCATGAAGCAACAACACGGTGCTATGACAGAAGCAGAGAGAGAGAGAGGAGAGAAAGCGAGAGAAAGAGAGGGAGAGACTTACAGGGACAGAGAGAGTCAAGAAAGGGAGGAAGGAAGAGAGTGAAGGACAGAAAGAGAGAGTCGTGGAGTAACAGCATGGCGCTATGAAACAGGGAGAGAGGGAAAGAGAAAAGCATACAGAGAGGGAGAGAGAGAAAGAAAGAGAGAACTAGAGAGACAGGGAGAGAAAGAGAAAGGATGATAGAGGGAGAGAGATTCATGAAGCAACAACAAGGTGGTATGACAGAATGGAGAGAGGGAAAGAGAAAACCTTACAGAGAGACGGAAAGAAAGAGAGAGACGCTTTAAATTGGCTCCCATTAAATCTGGTTCTCATAAGGAAAAAGAAGTGCGCTGTAGCTGGCTGACGGTGTATTTGCTTCACTTTGCAGATCGTCGATAATATGCTTCAGAGAGTGTTTACTTAGTGACAGACACAGCTGGTTGAAGTGACGTGTGCAGAGAAATCCCTGTATCCTGAGCCGTGAGCAGTAATGACATACTATGTGAAAGATAACACAAGGACTAACATGCTGGTCGTCATGGTATTATTATGTTGAAAGAAGAAAAGATATAGTTGCAGTGGAGTTCATATCGGATCAGTTTGGATAGGTTTGAGATCAAAATGTACGAAAAGTTACGAAGACGACTCCTCAAAGACTGTTTACTTACGTTTCTGACAGTTGGAATGACATGATGACAAGAGCAAGGAGGCTGCATGCTGTGTCGTGAGCTACAATAATAACTTGAATAGCACAAAGCGGAGAATACGGAGTGTCAGTGATGGTATTTTGAGTGGTTTTCAGCTTATATCCAAATTAGGGTTGTCAAAAGTAGTGAAACTAGACTAAGCTGAGCAGGTAATGATACTAAAAAGTCTATTTCGTGAATAGCTTTGGAATGATCTTGCACTGTATCAGAACAAGTATAAGGCCACACAGACTCGCATAGGAAAACAGCGGATTAACTAAATTATACTTTTGTTTTTGACAGTGTGACTCTCCCTACGTTCAGGCTGCAGGGTTTAATGCTCAATTCTGAGTTTTTTTGTGAAATACAATTTATTTATTTATTTTTTTTGCAAGGTAATTTCTAATTCCACTTTCCAATTAAATGCGACTTGTATGTGATCTGACTATAAACGCCCCAAAAGTGTCCCGCATGTGCACTAGAGGACACAACAACGTCACTGAGACCCTGGAGGTTTTAAAGTTGCTGTACCGGAGCCAGAACATGTCCAGCTTATTTGTTTTAAGGAGGGGATGGAGAAGGAGAAGGACAAGGTTTTTGGCCAGAGGCAGCGCTACCAATAGGCAACATTAGGCGGCCGCTTAGGGCCCCTGAACCTGGAGGGGCCCCCAAACAACTGCCCTCAGTGTCACGAATGGCTGAAGTCTCAAAACAGTTTGATTTAGTCTCAGTATGATTTTAAACAAGAAAACATCATCAAAATAGTATCTGAATGTCAAATCTATTTTAACTGTCAAAGCATCCCCCCTTTCACGTTAGAATGGACTAGTCAGCTTGACCCTGATTTGAACATAATCACAGCGTAATCATAATCATCATATGTAATGGATGTGAACAAAATTGCAAACTGTAGTAACAAAAACACAACAACAATACTTTCAGCTCTGATTATCTAGCAGGCTACCTAACTAGTAAGACAAGTTTCCAGTCCACCCTATTTCAAATAAAGATGTGTGTGTCTCATGAACAATGGGGAAAAAAAGAGACAATAAAAAAAATAAAAAATAGTGCATTATAGTGAGTGGCCCAAACTCAAGTTCGCCTAGGGCCCCCAAATTGTTAACTGCTGTAACTCCACCACTGTTTTTGGCCATGGCATTTTGTCCGTAGCGATGTCCGTAGAAAGGAACGTGTGGGCGCGGAGTTGCAGCCAAGAGTGGTGGGACTGATATGTGCTTCACTGCTTCACTGCTTCACATATACAATTTTCATATGACGAGAAGAACCTTTGCGTACATTTGTGAGCGCCTACTTTTTGCGGGAGGAAACGCAACTTCGACGGCCTATTTCAGTGAGCAAACGCGTCGGTGTTAAGCTGTACTGGCTCGCAACCGGTGCTTGTTACGCGTTGTTATGACTGAAGTTGCATGTCTAAAGGTCAGATATGTATCGGTTTTAGGAGCACATATCCAAGTGTCGCATTTGAAAAAAATCGGATCTGTGTCGTTCAGACTGTCATTAAAAGATCAAATACAGGTCGCATAGGGGCGAAAAAAACAGATTTGGGTCACGTCAGGCTGCAGTCTGAACGTAGCCTAAGTCACTCCCCCTTCAGAGCACTAGCACAACCCAATCAGAATGCATCCCACTAATGAACCTACTCCACATCGCATCAGATTTGTCATATTGTTGTGCACAGTTTTTGTCATCCTTTTGTCTATTTATGGAGAATTGTCCTGTGGGAGCATGGGTGACACACTGTGGACAGAATCTTAAAACTAACCGTACGGAGGGTTCAAGCTGCGCTCTAAAATTACTCATAAACTTAGACATAAATGGATGATATTTGAAATCTCTTCAGGCATGTTTTGAATCAGGGAAAAACATTATAACATGGCAGAAAGCTCAAAAACATCGACCTTGCATAATACCCTAATGTTTTATACGTGCATTGTTCTGTGTACATTAAACTAACAATGTAGTATGTGTGTTAATGAGAGTCAATCAGTGAACAGAAATGTAAACTCGCCTGTAGCTACAACCCGGCATGTTCACGCACATGTTCAGCTTTAAAACATGCACTACCAAATGTGTGTCTCATTTGCTAAAACACTGATCCATATTAAGCAGCCTATGCTCGCTTACCCGCAGGCCGAAGTAAAGGAGGAAGAAGACGTTGAAGGCCATATCGATCTGTAACGTGAAGTCTTTGTAGAAGTTCTGACAGGATTCTATAGGACTGTAAACAAAAGAGAAAAAGAGAAATTCAGAGTTAGATTATAAGCAGATACAAATATATATTGTCTTTACAAGTACACCATAGGATTACGATGTTTACAATGTATAGTTATGAAGTATACATGAAGAAATCAATCAATCAATTATTTATTTCAAACTTGGTAGTTCTATGGTTCAGTTTTCGCACAGTTCTGTCCAGGCAGTGAACTTAACACTGCAATATCCTCCTGGGACCCAAAGAAAAAAAGTGTATTGCAATATATATTTTTTTGTGATTTCTATCTATTTGGAGGTAAATTAACACCTTAGCATTTATATTTTGTAGATTTTATTTGTATTCATAATTTTGTAACATGTTCTCTGTAATGAACACTGGGGACATTTTGGTATTAAATCCATGTGAAGTTGACAATCTAACAAAAGTACCTTTTTTGATGACCAGCATCTCTGACAAGCTTCTACAGTTGCTGCAAAAAGTTTTTAGACTCCCTTTTTATTTCTTCTTCTTATTTTTTTCTTATCATAGTGCAGCCACAAACTAACTCCTATTGAGTTAATTTTGTATCCTGGACATGATAGTACTCTACTTAGGTCACTAAGAGTCTATCTCAAAATACTTAAAAGGTAGACTGGTTAAGTCAATGTCCACTACAAAGGACACAAATGAATAGGCCGGGTCTCAAGAGGATAACAACACTTTTTGTACCATACTATTTGCAATGAGTAGCAATTTGAAATCGCAATTTGCATGGACACAAGGCTGCTTTTTGAAGTAGCATAATTTCCCCAAATACAACAATATATAATTTTATTCTACATTAAAGCTGTTGACCCTGTCGTTTAGATCTGTACAAACATGTTTTGAAATGTGATTCATGGATCAGTTTGTCAGTTCATAGGTTTATGTTTAAAATGTGCATTTGGAGCTCTTCTTGTACCTGACCAAATGACATGTGAGTGTTTTCTGTTCCACCTTGTGAAAAACTCAGCTTAAATATGCAGGGCTTATGTGTTAATCATATGCGAATGAAAAAAAACACAACTCCAGGTATGCTTTTGATAAAGAAACAACATTACAACACAGATTAGAAAAAAGTGGTTTTAACAAATTTGCAATGTTTCGATCAGTGCAACTTCCTCAGGCCACCAAAGCTAATATCATATCCCAAGAAATGACCTTTACTACACAACTTTATGACTTCTTTTTAACAACCAATCTTCCCCATGCCACAGTCCCTCCCCTGTCCTCACAGCACACCCCAAAACAGCACTTCCCTTTCAGAGCCGGTTCACCTCGAGAGCACTGGAGTCTGTGACATGTGGATGAAACAAGCCCAAAATTAACTGCAGCGTTTTGATACCGAGAGCCCCTTTGATGTGGCGGCGTGCATACATTATTCACACGCCTGTCATGGAGTTACACCGCCACGCTATGACAGAGAGAGAGGGAGGGAAGAAGGGAGGGAGGCTGAAGGAGAAAGAGAGGGAAAGAGGGAGAGAAAGGAGAAAGAGAGAGTAATGAAGAGACACCACCGCGCTATGACAGAGAGAGAGGGAGAAAGAGACATGGAGTAATATCATCATGCTATGACAGAGAGGGAGGGAGAGGTTGAAGGAGAAAGAGGAAAGGAGGGAAAGAAGGAGAGAAAGAGAGAGATGGAGGGGGAGAGAGTGTCATAGAGTAACACTGCTGTGCTATAAAAGAGAGTGAAGGAGAAAGAGAAGGAGGGAGAAAGAGACATGGAGTAAGACTGCGACGCTATGACAGAGAGAGAGAGAGGGAGAGGGTGAAGGAGAAAGAGAGAAAAAGAGGGAGAGAAAGGAGGGAGAGAGTAATGGAGTAACACCACTGAGCTATGAAAGAGAGTGAAGGACAAAGAGAGGGAGGGAGAAAGAGACATGCCACCCTATCACAGAGAGAGAGGGAGGGAGGGAGGTAAAGGGTGAAGGAGAAAGAGAAAGAGGGAGAGGTTGAAGGAGAAAGAGAGGGAAGGAGGGAAAGAAAGGAGAGAAAGAGGTGAGGGAGGGAATGAGAAGGGTGTACAGAGAGACGGAGAGACAGCGAAAGTGAAGGAGTGAGAGAGTCATAGAGCAACCACATGGCTCTATGACAGACAGAGAGAGAGGGAAGGAGAGAGGGGTAGAGAAGAAAAGAGACAGTCAGACAGGGAGAGAAAGAGAGATTGAGCGAGAGAAATGGAGACATACACAGAGAGAAAGGGCAAGTGAGTGATCAAGACAGAGTCATGGAGTAACTGCAGAATGCCATGACAAAGAGAAGGCGAGAGAGAGAGAAAGAGATAGACAGAGAGAGTGAGTTGCGGGGAAGAGACAGAGTGCCTGAAGGAGAAAGAGAGGGAGGGAGAGAGTCACGGAGCAACAACACGGCGCTATGACAAAGAGAAAGCGAGGGAGTCCGGGAGCGAGATGAAGAGATTTTGATTTCTAGCGCACCTTTATTGTGTCTGTCGAAAACATTTTGCATTCGATTTCATCCACGCCATAAGAAAGCGTCAGTAACCGCGCACCAGTATGTGAACGAGAGGGAAAAGAGAGAGAGAGAGAGGCTTTAAGTAGCCCCCCTCGTGATAAATTTCTGGTGGCCTGTCAACTCGCTCGTTCAATCCATCTTTATGTTTACCTCCATGATCAGCCATTACACAGCGAGCGATCCCAACAAAGTAATCATAAGCAGCATGCACAGCCCATTCTTCACACAGTCACGCAGGCCCCATTCTATCTGTGCACTTACATACACAGAATACCTCATGTGCTTAAGATTGATAGAGTCAAGGCCTGAAGCAAAAACAGAATGATTTGAATAGTGTTAACTGGAGAACAATATAGATTCCTAAACAAATTTGCAAACTACACAGACAATATGACAAAAACTCTATGGCTATCAAGTTAAAATGTCAGTGGTTTGTCAAAACAGTTTCATATTCACATTTGACAGGGCCTATATTACGCAAAATTGACTCTTGTGAGGTTTGAGCCATGTTAGAATGTTGTCACCTACTCAAAAACAAAGCTGGAGTGGTGTCCTGTTTCTTTCACACATGTTTGCGTAATCCTTTATTATTGTCTGTGTGCATCTCCAAAGCTCAAATGCTCTGTCCCTACTGGCGATGTCACGAAGGTTTTCAAGTTAACAGTTCCTTTTACCTTTAGTTCAGTAAAGATTGGAGTGGGAACATCACAAGGTAGAATCCTTTATTATTAGTCTGTGTACATATTTAAAGCTCAAAATGCTCTGTCCCACCATGTGATGTCATGTAGCGGTATGTGAAAATCCTGCTGCCGTCCAGGTAGAATCCAATCAATTTGTCAACTATACAAAAGTTTATTTGGTCAAATACGTTTCACAGTTCATCCAAACTTCAACAGAAATGGAGTACTCAGGCATCACTATCTCCTATTTACAATGCCATCCTCAAACCTAAATCAAAACAAAGAAAACAATAGGGACAGCCAGGTCAGGACCAGAAGTGTGAAAGCACCCCTTAAGGCCCTGAATGATTATGCTAATATGACCCCACACTCAGTGCAAGCTTAATAGGCCTAGTTAACTAACAGAAACTGTAAACAAGTAGGTGTGTTAGTTTCAGAGTAGTTTCAGTGTAGTTACCTCCTCCCTTCAGGCAGATTTGAGGTAGTGTCCACCAGCATTTTGACCAGAGTTGTGAAACGTATTCAAACAATTTAACTTTTGTCCAGTTGACTAATTGAATTTCTCCTGTTGTCAAGTAGTGGTACTTTTCAAGTTAACACTTTCCTTTTACTTTTAGTTCAGTGGACATAGTCATTTCCAGGGCTAAAATAATCCAAATGATTCTAGTGAATGTGTATGAGTTTAAAAACACAGTGGAGCACTTCCTGTATTACCACATGTCATCACAAGGTGGAACAGAGTGTTTTCTGCTTGAGAGAAGAAGCCTAAATACACAGGGTTTGAGTGAACATATGTGAACGAAGCAAAACACAACTGTGGCTATGTTTTTGATGGGGAAAGAGCATTATAACATAAATCAGAAAACATGTAATACGAGCACTTTAGGTTGTGTAGTGATTCTAAGTGATTGACAGAGCCGTGCTGACACATAGGACATACTGTATAGGAAAGCACCATGCATTAACCATCAGGCAAGTGCAAAGGGAATCTCATCAGTTTGAATTATATATTAGATAGTAAAGTGTCCATAGGGGACATGAGGATGGGTGGTTTGGATCCTCGAGATGTTCTGTTATCATCATTCATGCAAACGTTTCAGCATAATCAATGAGAATAAGGAAGTGGATAAACTGTCCGGGCTAATACTCTTAATGTATCAATTGATGTGATGGCAGGGTCTGATGTTAGCTAGATGGACCTATCTCGCAATGGTAAGTGAGGCCGCGGGAAACTGAGCATCTTGAAAGGAGGGAGGAAAAAAATGTGCAACGTTTGACCAACAGTGTGCTACAATAACATCTCGTAATCTCGCAATGGTATAAAAAAGAGAAAACTAGACGCAAATTTCTACATCAAGATAGAAAGAGGATATACAATTTGAAATATAAATAATAAAGATTAGTTAGAATTATTTTAAAACAGTAATTATGGTGTGTTAAAACCTTTTTCATAGCCATTAAAAGCGTTTTTGTTTGTTCAGATGTTGTATTCAGCTCAATTAGCGTTAGCTTAGTATAGCATGAACTATTGTCGCATTCTGAATGTCCGTAGTCGATAAATAAAGAGTCAGTTCTCCAGACATTAGTTGTAAATGCTTTCCATTGCAACAGCTGGGGAAAATATGGATGCTCGAGAAAGTTTAATGTTTATTTTCTTAGCTTATGAATACCATAAGCAAGCCATATCAGCATACATAAACTACTCCAGGACCATGACTAAACAGAGACGGCACATGATTTTGTTCATTCAAGTATCATGTAACCTAGGCTATGTGCATTGCCATTTTTGCTGTGACGTAAATTAGGGTGACCAGAAGCCCCTATTTACCC